CCTGGCTCTCGTCCGAAGCAAATCTTTGGGACCATTAATAATATCGCCGGCGCAATTATCGGGCCAGCTGCTACGTTCCCTCGAGGCCCGGTTCGGTCTTCACAGCAGGTATACATACGTACGTGGCTAGAGAACCCATCTTGTGTACGTGTGTACGTTTTCCAGCCAGGTACGTAGCTACAGACCCCTAGAACCCTTAATTTCTGTTATCTCATTGCGGTTCGCCGCTCGGAGACCGCTCTAAAACAATCCCGCTCGTGTTACTTTCCAACGATACCTTGGAATTATTACGGAAGAGACTGTGCTTTCGAAACCGGTCGATTTTACGAGTACCCGAAAATTCTACTACCGAACAGAAAAAAATAAAAATAAAGGACCAGAGAGATTTTCATCGAGGTAAATGTTACGTAGACGTAGAGGCACGCTTGTGTATTAAACAGGGACAGGATCGGTCGCTTGTAAAATTTTACACCCGGCCATTATTAGCTACCATTTTCCTAGTAATTATCTTTTTATTGCGTTACTCGATCATCGAACGATCGCCTTGTCTATTTATTAGACTCCCCGCTTGGTTCGAGCGTTTTTATACACAGATCCCAAGCGACGGTTAACGCTGTTCGATCGGCCGGATATATCGACTCGTAATAATACTTCCTGTTGTTGGACAGGGAATAAAGGAAAACTCTTCAGGTATTCCCACGGTGACCGCCGTATCTTTGTACGTACAGTAGCCGTTCGATAATTCGTCGCCCTCGGGCCTCGAGCGGTGGACCTTTCTAGGGAATCATCGAGCGGCCACTTTAGTAATATCGATACAACTGTAGCAAGTTTGCGTTCAATTCGACAATTGACCGTCTACCGGTTGACGAATGTATGTACATCATTTCGCGGCCGCAATCTCGTGCCTCGTCAATTCATTAATTAATCGGTGGACAGACCGCGTCGCGCTACGCGTCGCTCGCTGCGTTGCTCGCCGCCAATTACCGGCACATTGTCGCGCATAAATCATTAGCAAACGTGACGCTTCCATAATTCGGTTAATTTGCACTGTTTTTGCAACGTCTCGCCGCTCTGCCTCCGGCTCTCTCTTTTCTATATTCACTTATAGTTGATCATTATTTCGGGGATCGGTGTCTACCTACAAACGTTATTATTATTTTTTAGGACTATTTTTTCAAACTTTAAAATCATTTCATACCCCACCACAGTCGTTAGATTAGTAAAATAAAATCGTTTCTAGCATTGAAAGATCAATTATTCTGCTTTTCGACGAATCAAAAAATATATACATAAACGATTTTTATCAACCGCGCGGAACGATAAAAATCTGCGACGGATCAAGACATGTTTACACGTTATCAAACCGACGAGACAAGAGATTTCGACTATTGTCCCCGGGATTTCTTCACGGATTTATATAAATTTTACGAAGACGCGTCATTCTACTTGACTTTGTCCCATCGGTTATCATAACCGACGGATTACCAGACGCGAGTATTGATAATCAAGTTTGATAAATGTATATTTAAAAACAATGAGCTAGCATCCGTTTTTTTATTTTATCGATTCGACGAATGTCCCAATTCTAAAGATATTTATTGATCCTTAAACTGTCAAAATTCCTATATAAATTCTGCTTATGAAAAACAAGCACGTGTATGTACGTAAAAAAAGAAGGAAACATAAATTTCACTGTTTAATTCATCGCAGGATTAATCACACCGCTTTCACCAAAACCGCTAGATTCATCAACGGTTCATATTCGGGAAGATTTATAAAATTTTAATTTTAGGTCTGAGTAATAATTGACTCGGCTCTACTATTCAAGGGTTAAATAGGTCGTGTTTCGTTTCTTTTACTTATACGTCACCTTTTTCGTGTTACGAGCGTACAGAAAGGGAAAGAACCCCTTATGGAGGGAAAGAAATCGTGAATGACCGAACGTGTGCAAAAGAGTGAGTGTTAATAAATCGGCCGGAAACATAGAAGCTGATGCGTGGCTGGAAAGAACGAGCCCGAAATGCCACGCAAACGTTGCTTCGTGTCTATCACGGCTTATCGAGATGCGTGTGAGTCAGTCATTAATAAAAAGGGTCGCAATACAGTGTGACGGTGAAAAAGCGAAGGGCTCGAGGTATCGATCAAATAACCATCGTTCGCCATGTGGAAAGACACTACCCGTGAAGTGATTTCCATTTCTAATAGGGTAGATATATTTAACACTACAACTACCCGCATCTGACGCATGCTTATTTTTAAATTAAAAATAATGTCACTGAAAGTGTACTTCTTAAAATAGAAGAAAAAATTATTTTATGGAAAGCAGTAGGTGTCCCCTCTTAATTATCATGGAAAATAATTGAATCAGGAGATAACGAGCAATTTATGTTACACGATTTTCTCTCGAGATATCACAGCTAGTTTCGTTTTTAATTTAAAACGTTTCAGTGCGAGAAATGAGTACACGAAGCATGTATTACCCGCTAAAAGATAATACATGCGCGTACATTTGTTACGTGTCCAACATCCCGTTCGTTCAGGAAGTTTCGTATCGAATTTATCAAAAACACGACGGGAAGCCTGTTATAAGATGATAGACCAAGGAGAAAGTGAACCAACATACACCGTTGATTTCGACAAAAATTCACCCATTACCTACATGACCGTTTCATTGTATCTTTTCTGAAGAAGATAAACTAAGAATTCACGAAATACTTGAATAAGAAAAACTCAAAAGTGTATAATTTAAATTAATTTCATTTCAAATAATCCATTTGCTTTTTAGTTTCTTCTGAATTTTACAAATTATGCAATATCTATTACAAAAATCTAAAACTGCGTGCAAACTGTTCCACGCTTGCTATGTAATCACCTCGTAAAAATTTTAATTAAAAGGAAATTTTTTTATGAAACGGACAAAGGTAATCTTATCTACATAATATCGTGAATATCTATCGTTCTAAAATGTAAACTGCTTATCGAGAAGGTTACCTAATTCGAATAAAGTATCGTTGAAATTATTTTTAAAATTCGATTCTAAATGAAGAAAAATCATGCTCTTCGCGTGTTCCACGGATATCGAATTCTTAAAGCGTCATCGAGACACGTACGGTTTGCAAAGGTGAAATTTTGATCCGTGCCGAACGTTTCGAACTGCGTGTGGATTTTTGTAATACATTGTCGTAGTGGCGTAGGAAAAAGGAACGGCCTTACGTTTAGGCTGCGTTTTAGAGTGGCTCGCAATAGTGTGCATCACACGTGCGTACACGAATCGATGCACTTGTGTATGTGCTGCACAGACCGATTTATTGATCACACGCGTCGCACGCAATATATGAGGCGCGTGAGTGCGTGTCGCAACGGACTACGAACTTTTAACAAATTCCGTCTACGATCTGGCCTGACATGTGCACAGACAGTTGGGTCGATGCATTAGCATAAAATCGAAGGGAAATCAAAATTTCAACAACAGCTAGAAACGGAACTCGAAAATTATCAAATCGCTCGATAAATAAATTTGTTAACACCTCGACCATTCGATAAGATTACAATTCTAATTATTATGGGTTCGAATGGATAATATTTTTAAACGAAACTTTTCATTTCAACATTTCTCTAATCAATCTAATAAAATTGAAATATAAAAAGGATTAATAGTGCACCTTTAGAGAAGCAGAAACAGAATTCGTTAAAATTTATTGTTATTACCGAAGCTTATCTACGAAGGTGATCGAGAAAAAAAAAGGTTTTAAATTTTGAATCGTATAATACGATAGGAATAATCTGGGGTATGAATACCGGTTTGAAGAGCAAATTGTATGCCGGTTGAATGTAATCAGAGCGAGACCGTTAATAAATGACGCTCGAAGAAATGGTTAATAACGCGGCTGACAAAGGCGGGTAGGCAAGGCGACAAACAAATTAACAAGCAAGTCATTCGACGATCACGATCAGCAGGCTTTGCCCGTTGTTACAAATTGCGTACAATTCGAACGTGTTCGGTGCAACGATACCAGAAAAGCCAGTATGCGGTTATCGTACTGTTCGCATAAATCGTGAGAAACGCGAAACCGCGATGTGTATTTTAATATCAATTGCAATTCAGTGAACTGCAACAGAGTCGCGTGAAACATTCGTTCGGCATCGAGGAAAAAATGAACGGAGAGCGATTAATTTAAGATACCGAGGGACAAAATAAAAGAAAACAATGACGAAACCGATGATTTTCGCGCGTTCTCTTTCGATCAAGACCCCGTACGTAATTTCTATAAAAGCACGACTACGCAGCGAGCAGGGACGGCGTAGTTAACGACGTGGGCCGTGGTCGATCGTGCAATTAACTTTAACGAACGGCGGCCTTGCGATTAAACTTAATTAGTATCGCGGTAATAACTCGTTAATAATCAGCCGTGTCTATACCGTTCGTTCGTGCACGTGCACACACGTGCGTTCGAACGCTTCGTTTCGTGGCATGCATGCGTGTTTCATATTTACGTGACTACGTGGACCAAGCGGAGGTACAGATCGAGGATGGCTCGACACGGTTGGACGTTCAACTTTTGGAAGACGCCTTTATGTAGCGACGACGACGACAACGACGACAACGACGACGACGTGGAGACGTGTAAATTAGCGAGAACCAGCACAATCATCACCAACAATCGTAATCAAATTAAGAAAATCACGAAATTTATCATTCACTCCGGTCGTGTCCATGGCGGCACGTTTTTCTCGAGCTGCGATACGACAGTAGCCAAATGGTATACGTTATATTATACTTGATGGAGGATCACAAAAAATCACCAGAGAGGTTCCGTTTCGCGTTTCGGTTGGTTTCTTCTTCTTCACTTACAAAGAGACGAGTACTCATATCCCATTGGTGTGTTCCAAGGAAACACACGTCGGAGCGTTACCATTGAGGAAACTCGAAGCGCGTATAAACAGAGACAGAAACGTTCGAAGCGTAGAACCGGCACTGACTGAATGATTGACCGACTGACTGAATGGTTGGCTGGTTGACTGGCAGACGCACGCTCCTGTCGCGAGTCTACCGGCAAAGCCACTACGTTCCTCCTTCTTCGTCCGCGTTTCCGTTTTCAGGATTTTTCTTTTCCTCACACTCTCGGATTATGTTCCGCGTCTCTGGAGGAACAACCGCTGTCCTTCCGGTTTCAGCACGCACAAAGACAAACACTTCGTGTGCGTTCGCCGCATCAACCGAGAGGTATAGGTGGTCTGTCAGCCGCTATAGCTGCCAGATAGGTAGAGATAAACAACGAGGTCGTGTGTGTGTGTGTGTGTACGCGCGCGAGGCAGCGAGGAGATCGAGCGAACGAGCCAAGGCACCGCGCTGCGATATATCCCGGATCGTACTTGGACCACGGAGCTGACGAGCAAACGTAAAAACGTGCACTACCGTCTCTCTCTCCCGGCTGCGACGAGCGAGGCGGTTAGAAACATCGAGCACGAACCTGATTGCGGGGCGGCGCACCGAATTATGGGCCGCTATGCGCTTTCGGCGGCTTCTCGCTCCCTCTCCTCCGTCTACGTCTCTCCTACTCTCGCCTTTCGTCCTCCCTCTTGCTCTAACTCAGCTTTCATCCCCACCATCCGACTGTTGACTTGCCCCCACTTCTACTCACTCTACTCTCCCCCTCGTAGGACGTAACTACTCAACTCTCCCCACCATCGACGGACACATTGCTAGAGCGCGCTATAGTTACCCTCCCCTCCACTGTTGAGTATTGGCGCGGGCAGTAGCATTGCCCCTTGCGTCTGACTCTAAAGCTCTCACGCGAGAGCAACGTTGCCACCTTACGGCGTAGCTGCGGGGATGATGGACGTCGCGTCGCGTCGCCTCGCGTCGGATGGCCGCGAGCCGCCAACGCACTCGCTTGCGCCGCGTCGACATCCTTCACCGTCTCGCTCGGTACAACACGCGTGCTTTACGATGCCATCCTCGCCTCTTCCGACCGGAAATCCCGCTATGCGACGCCCATCGCGCGACACCACGCGCTGTCTGACGATCCTCTTCGCGGTTGATCGATGATCGGATAATGCGCTACGCTTTCAGGTAGAAAGGGTTGCGCCCGAGGGGTGAGATGACTTTCGATGAACGGATCGACAGGGAAGTTTTCAGTATTAGACAAAGACGAGTAAATAGAAAGGGTGCTGAATGAAACATTGATCTTCTTAAGGAAGACATTTGTGATCGATGCAGAATGATTTTTTAAGTATCGTTCTTCTTGGATTTCAACGATTACCGCTCGAAAAGAGTGACTTCCGATACTAACCACCAGCACGCAGCACTGCATAGCGATCCTCTTCACGCTATGGGCACGTTGTTTAACGATCAATAAAGTTTGACCAGGCCATAGCTATTCGTCTAAAGTAGGCGCATCTTTATCGAAAGGTAGGGGTCGTTTCAGCCACCTCCGTGTTATCACTGAAGGTCGGTAAAGAGAGCTCTTCAGGGAAGGGTGGAATCGCAAAGAGGGTAGTTTCTCTCGCGTAGAAAACTGCAGACTATTTCCTCTTTCGCGAGACGGCTTTCTTTCGTCGCGATTCTTTCACCCTCCGTCAGATGTCGGGGTGTTTCGCGGGTGATTGGGGTGGTAGCCGCACGATACCACTCGCGAAGCGCCACGAGTTTCAAATACCACTGCCCCAAATAGGTTTTAAGTGAAATTTCGTATTCGTTTATGAACTGAAACCACGAACATATGTTACGTTCTACTAATTGCAACACCGTGTAATTAGTCTAGTTTTAGTCAGCTTAGCCCGTGGCATTTGGCGTAAGTTAATAACGAGTAATTAAACAAATGCGTCGCTCTTAATGACTGCTTGGCGGTAAACAGCTTAACGACATACGCATATCGTCGTTTCGAAACTGGCTTCGCGCAACGGCTTCCACGATAACGAAGCTACGTTGAACGATAAGCGAAACGATTCGTTCGTAACGCAATTTGTTTCAATTGTTCTGTCACATGCCGTTCGACCACTCGGAATTGAAACGTGTCATAACAGGAGTAACGTCGCGCGTCGTTTCAAGTTGGTATGCCGAGATTGTCCCCAATTCGAATCTATGGCTTGGATGACAAATGAATTAACATTTGCCGTTAGGTTTTTTTTAGACCCACTCTATTTTGCGCACAAATCTTTCACTACTTATGGGATATACAGTAGCCGCTCGATAATTTACCGCCAGCGTGAATCTGGAAGCGTCAATTGGCCGCATGCATTCTTTCTAACCATCTGTCGGGCCCTCAGACGCAACTGTCGCAATGTATGCAATTGCAGCAAGGTCATCCCTTGACACCTAGACTCCGCGATCCCGGAAGATCCCCGGCGCATCTCCACCGAGGTGCTACTTACTCATCGATCTTCGATAGAGGCGGATCATTTCTGACTTAGTTGACGATGATCCATTGAAAGTGTTCGTGATGCACGATCGGGACAGGAATGATCGGTGAACGGACACGTAACCACGTGTCTGACACCCTCACGCCAGTCGAGAAAGGCGCGTGTTGACGCGCCGCAGCGTAGCTCGCGTGCGCTGGCGCATGTGATCGATACTCAACATCGCCGGGCTTTTCGCGTCCCCGCGCGACGTCACGACACAAGAGCCGAGTAACACCGACAAAGGACGAGGCCGACCGAGACTGGCCGAGGTAGCGCGAGCCGCGGTAGCAGCAGCCGTCGACGCGAGCACGGCCCCAACCGTCACCGTCGTTTCGACGTCGTGCACACTTTCTTGCCGCCGATCGTCCACGCGGAAATCAGTTCCCGTCACGAGAAACCCCGTTGCTCTTGGACGGCTGCTTGTCACACGGTCTGGCTCGATACACGGTGAACGCGAGCCGCGCGCGAAAGTGGTCCGAGTGGTGTGTTCCTCTCTTGACTGGAAAGGTCGCGTTACGAGTACTCCCGGTCGAACAGAAACTGGTAAGTATGTTCTGATCACCTGTCTACCCTGAGCTTTTATCCAAAATCCAATTCGACTGTGTGTCTCTTTCGAATCGTCTCATGTATTCCAGGCTAGAGCAATCCTTTCCTTGTACACTGCAATTTGAAGAAATTAATTATCTGTAAAAACAAAGCGACGTTATCGTTGCGATGCTCGATGAGTGGATCGACGCGTCTGACGGTCGATCTGACTCGTGACGGTACATCCTACTGTCACGTAACATGGTTCTTTTTTTATAGAATCGCTTAGCGAAACGTAGAGGGAAGACGAAGGGGTGTCTGAGATAGGGTTGATTTTTTTTCTGTAGAAAAATGACGGAAATAGTCAAGTGTCTCTGGCGTGTCTGACCAGTGACGAGCCGCAACCCCTTTAGGTCGCAGCGCAGCTGAGCTCGACCGGGCGCGACCCACAACCCTACATTCGCGGTCTGCGGCGTGACCTAACCTCAACTCACCCCACCTTGGGTGAGCTTCGTTGCCACCCTCTCTCCTTCGATAGACTGGCGCGCCGGGGACGACTTTACGCACCGGTTTATCGTTTGATTTTACGCCAGTTAACGCGTCGTTTCTTTCGCTCCGAGGACGTTCCTTGCTGGTCCGCGATCCGCGTTTCGATATCACCGTCAATTTACGGATCAACTTGTCAAGGTAACGGTGCACAACAGCCATAACATTCGAACAGTCTGACCTTGGCAGAGTGGAGTCCGCGTCAATCACTATCAACTGACATTACGCCTCCCGGTTGGGGATACCTTAATTAAGGACAGTCAATTGGACGTACAAATATCGGTCACGCTATCGTTACAATGATTACGACGATGTGTGAATTAGTCGGGTGTGAATTTTCGCGATATTTTGTAATACGTATTATTTGTTTTAATAAATACAGCATGGTGATTGTATTTGAAATTTAAGGGCTGTCATTGTGTAACGATTCATGGAAGCACAATAATCATTCCGTTCCTCGATTTATAACGTAATACGATGATCGTGTTAATAGGATTTCGCGAACGCGAGCGATGGAGAGGAAAAAATGTAAACTTCAAAGGACGTCGATGAAACGTTGGGTATATCGCGAGCTGGGACAACGCGGCATATAACACGTGTAGCTGTGTCAAAATTGCTTGATTCACTAAATTTAAATCGAATTAACCGGCGCAACGTATGGCAACGGCGTTGCGCCAGTGTAATACCATGTACCAAAGTCTGCGAAAACTGTAGATTCGTTTTTCGACATCCTTCGTGCAAAAAACACATTTATGACATTTTCATGCACCGTTGATCTACATTAAATTACTTCATCTCGAATAGTTTCAGCCGATCAACCATCTTCTGCCAAGCGTTTCAGAGTCTGGGGTAGATTAAAAACGATGACGTTAACCACTTGCCTCTGTTTACAGAGTCACTCGAAACATTCAGCGAACCACGAGATCTTCAGCCGCCACTCTGCCGCTACTTCCGGTCCGTCCATCACCGTTCCGTCTCCGCCAGCCGCGAAACATCGGATCGAGAGAAATCGAGGAAAAGGATCTCGCGAGGAGGTGATCGCGTGGCAAGGGGTTAGTGAAAGCAGTAGAGTCGTGTCGTGAGGGGTCCAAGAAGCGTAGCCTTTGGGTGTGATGTGGTGGAGCCCCCCGGGGGGCCGCGGGGGCAGGAGGTTCGAGGCAGATCGGTCGTGAGGGCCCCAGGCACGGCTCGGTTGCCCCGCGGCGAGGTCGCCGGAGGGGCGGAGGAGGAGGTAGGATGGTGTGACCTCCGACGTTATCCCGCCCGACGCGGAGGTGGTGCTGGAGGTGGCGGAGGCGGTGGTGGAGGAGGTGGCGGTGGAGTCGAACAGCTGCTGCTCGACTCGGAGGAGGAGGAGCCGACGGCGATGTCGAGGCAGCTTCGCGGTGAACGGGACCACGTGAGCCGTTGCGACCTCCGAGAACAGCGCGACCTCCGCGACCTTCGGGACCTGCGCGACATCAGGGATCTGAGGGATATCAGGGACCTCCGGGACGTTCGGGACATTAGGGACGACAGGGAGAGACACGGTTCCGGCAGACATCATCGGGACGAGTACCTGGATTACGATCACCATCCCACCGCTGCATCCACCTCGGCACTTACCAACAACCCGGTGAGTCTGATTGCTGATCGATGTGATTGATGAAACGCATCGATCTTACGAGGGTTGATAATTATTTTCCTCTGATTTTCATGAAACTTGGAGACACATCTTTTTAGTCTCAAGTGTTATATTTTTACTCCTTCATGGACAATACTGTAAGGAACGATTGGCACGAGGGGGTGATAATATAGATACTGTTATCGGGGTAGGTTCAAAGAAGATCCGACAGAGAGCAAGCAAAAGAGTGTCACAAAAGGGTGGGTTGTTTAATTCCGTCTCGAGGCCAAGGTTTCGTGGTGAGGTAACGAAAGACTGCGGTTATCAAACGGTCGCAGTTACATATCGAATTCAATAAAATTTATGTAACTCATTGGTTGCGTAGAGAGTTTACGAAAGGGAACGCAAGATGAATTGTACGATAAATGCATATGATCTATGTGCACGTACATAGATTTATCTATTATCACTCTAAGACAAATTGCATCGTGTTTAACCGTGTTATCTCCTACGACTGATAACGAGATCTTTGAACCTTTGCAAGAAAAAAATGCCGAACAATGCAAATAAAGATAATTTCTACTTTGAAGATTCCAACTTACTCATCACAAATCTGTCCTTTCTATGTAAAGAAGCAATATTACAAAGTTGGAGGTTATTTGTATGATAAAAATTCACTTTGAATTTCTCCGAGACATTTCTATTGGGTAAAAAGAGGGTGATGGATGTTGCAGAACGCGTCGTCAGGTATGAAAATTTCAGGGGGCAATAACCACGCGTTTCGGAAGCTTCGCAGAAAGCTTCAAAAGAGAAGTCTCGGTACAAATCGCCATTTGAAATATTTTTCCCTTAATATTTCGCCCACTCTGTATTGCGTAAGATTACCCGACGGAAATTCTATTTTCTATATGGCACACGATTCGATGCTAATTTTGTCGTAATTTATACCATCGAAGGTATTACGTCCATGTCGTTTGCGCAACGGCACGCAATAATCCGCCGAATGCAAATGCTGACTTGCCCAATTGGTGTTAATTTATCATTTACAAACGAATAAATGAAACACAACGTGATAAGAGAAGAATATTAAAATTAAAACAAAAAAACAATTGTAGTTTATATTTGAACGACCTACGTGTCTGACACGTAACGCAGAGAATTCTAGGAAACTAGTTCACCGGGAGGGAAAGTCTATTCGACTTGCTCCAGAAAGAATTGAATACCGCAGGAACGAACGGTTGAACGAAAGAAAATGAAAGATGGACGACGTGTCTGATCAAAGCGTGTTCTCGTTGCTCGTCCTCCCTGATATACCCACGCTATCCTCCGTGACCACGGTCTTCATTTAGCTCCTCTGCATCTTTCATAGGGGCTAGTTCGTAGAAGCGAACACCGCAGAGCATGGTCGGTGCCTCTCATTTGCAGCTGCATTCACTGGGTCGACTGGGTTGGCTTTCTTGCCGACGCAATCGCGCATCCTCTCGAGGGTCAGAAGTGCTAATGAGACAGACACGAGAGATGATGGGGTAGAAAATGGAATCGAGCCTCTTTGGAACGCTTCTTTTTTAGCGCCGGTGAACAGTGGCGTGATGCACAGGAGAGACACAGGAAACTGGGCCACGTTTTGTTCGCCAAGGTCGATCTGAAAAGATTTTAATAGCGTTACTCGGTTCTACCCGGTCCCACGACGAGGACCGACCGAGTGTCGTTGAAGTAACCCCACGCTCGTTTCGGGCAACGAGTTCGGAAGCTTTTAATTATCCTTCGTAATGCAGCCAAATCGAATGCAGTTTTGCAACGAACTTAAAAATGAAAAAGAAATTCATTGGTCTGTCACTTTGTACACGCGATTCTATAAACATTTAAAATAACGTGAAATAAAACACGTTTCACGGGTGACAATTTTAAACTTGCCACTCTCTTTTACGATTCTGTATCTTATTTTAAAAAAAATTCAATTTGGACAGGCCCATTGCGAGGATTAATTGTAACAGGCGCAGAGGCAATAAAGAGACATTAATGAATTGTATTACCTTGCAAGCTGTCCGCGCGATGATGCAAGAAAATCAACCTGGACACACATTGAACTGATTTATTCGTTTACTTTCCATTCGGTATGGAAATCAGTTTACAACATGTTGCTCATTACGCGTGCCAGCTCGCTCGAAAACAGACTCGTTTAACGTCCAGAATTATTAACATTTACGAAACAGCAAATATTTGCATTAACTGTAATCGCTTTACAACCATTTCGTTGACATTTTGACAATAATGTGAGACCAATGGTGACAATTTTTTTTCTTTTTTAATTGTCATTTAATTATTCTGTTATATTAAATTCGAGGCATTGGACGATCTTCACGCCAGCCAACGTGTTAATCGATATTCTTTTGCATGGTTCCGGTATCAATCACCAAAGTATTTATCACCTGGGGTTCCTCTGTTATCTCGATCGCGTCCGTGTTCCACGCTTTATAATCGTACACCTATAATCATGCAAATCAGCGGGCGTGCGTTAAAACACAGCTATATAACTATCGGTCCCGATAATCGCGCGAGCTTAATCGAGACTTTCCTGCACCCGTGTGTGCACGGCCAATTATCGATCATTTCTCATTGCCGGAACGCGTCGGCGTTGTTCGCGAGGCAAACGATTAATTGTAGAAATTGAAAATCATTCTTCGAAATTCATATACCGTATTGTCGTTTGGAAAATTGGGACAGCTGGGATTGCGAGCCGATAATCGATGATCGATTTCAAAATTTTCAAGCTCGATCGGAAGCGCAGGTTGATGCACCGAGCGTGCGACGAATGCGAATAAAATTTTGCATATTTATGAAAGGCGCGCATCGATACGTTACATTCATATTCAAGCCACCCATCTACGCCATTATTTACTCTCGCCGTTTTCCACTCAATTGTTAGTTGATTCCACGGAGTGCTTGGATAGAATATCATTTTCCACCTCCTGTCGCGGCCAGTGCATAATGTTGAATAAAACTTCGTTGACTAATGAATATTAACTCCATAACGAAAGAGTCTCTTATTTTGAAGGAGTTTTCCAGGGAAGAGAAATAACGTATTTTCCAACTGGTGTCAACTCAGAATTCCTCCGAGAAATATTTATAATCCGCTTCTTTTCAGTGGAAATTGCTTATTCCATGAAATCCAAAGCCGATGTCCCTTCGTTTGTCGATATTGTGTACAATCAAAGCACTCGTCGCTGAATCCCGAGATGCCTTCTCTGGCCGCAAAAATCGATCAAGTTTTCCTCGCCTGGTGTTTCAATCCAGGTTAGAAGAACCGTGACAAGGATGATCCTTGCTTGACCCAGATCCACGGCGTCGGATATATCCTGTCGCCTCGAGTGTCCCAGGACGTTTAACGAAACTGAAAATCAAGGCTCAAACGCGATATGGAAAGCGAGGCGAAAAATTGCTGTTTGAATCGAGATACCCGGTGGCCTCGTTTCAACGGCGCCTCGTCGTTCATTTCAAAGCGTGTAATATCTTTCCCCTCGTAAACGTTGAATCGTTGTGGATATCTGTCGTTGTTAAAAACTTTGCGCACTACAGACGAAGGAACACTGGCTGTTGGCATTATGCTTGTTCGTAACGCAACGTGCCCTATAACTCACGCTTTTCTTCATTAAACTCAGGGACGGGTAACCGTTAAGAAAAATAATTCTCTAGCTCGCCGGAAAATGAGAAAAATCCGGTGAAACTAACGGCGACCAGCGTCGTAGGTTACTTCGAACTTTACATAAAAATTTATGAAAAGTTTCATTATCGCAACGTATAAATTTGCAAGATCAGCGTTGCAGTAAGAATGATGAAGATTCGATTAATTTTGTCTCTAAGATAATTCGCTATCGCGAACGAGTCCTACCACCCACGCGGACCTCAAAGAAGTTCTTCGATCAGCAGATCTCATCTGGCCGGAGTCTGGGATCGATTATCGCGTACCAGATAGCCGTCGAAGTGCGTCACACGCTAAAAGATTCAGCAGCACCGACCACGTAAATAGCTCCTCCTCGGTTCAGCCTCTGCGGGCTGCATCGATCTAACTGCATCATTCGATGCAACTAGGCACGCGTAGTCGTCCGGTTCACGTGGAAACACTGCGATAAATTTTCCCTGGTGAAAAACAAAAACCGTTTCATCGTTGAGAGGGTAGACGCGGTTGCTCGGAGCGTCGATCGATATCAGCTCGACGCGTGTAGGCAAACGAGGAGAGTTCAGCTCGAGGAGTTCGTCAGGCTAGTGGGTCTTCGATGGTTGCACGGGTCTCCAGACCCGGTTCCATCGAATATAGGTCAGTGTACAAGGCGGCAGGAGCAAAAGAGCAGAGCAGACTTTTAGCCGTGAGCACGGCACGATCGTCCCGATGCGAGCCGGAGCGTGCTGGCCCGTAGTCTGCTAACGGCCAAACGGGTTTGCACAGGCGTTCCCTTCCTCTTTCCTCTTTTTTTCTTTATCCTCCCGTTTCCTTTTTGCCGACGAAAGGATTCCTCCTTCAGACGTGTCTTTCGCTCGGATAGGACCGCTCGATTCACCGTCGAAATTATTGTTAATGGACCGCTCGTGGTGCGCTCCGCGACTCTACTACCAAACCGGTCGATCTTTTTCACCGCGATGGAATCCGCGTCTCGTTGCCTCGCGATAGTAATTAAACGTTCCTTTGTTCTAAACTGTCGCTCTACCAAATGTTAAAATCAACGAAGACCGCATATGAAGCCTGGTCAGATCACTTTACCTGTAAACACAGTGTTCCAGGATTTTCCTATGAAAAATGACATTTCTTGTTCGAAACAGAGTCGTCGATCGGGTCATCATTTTTATCCTGTCACGAAGGCCGCGAAAGATCGCTGCGATAAAGGATACAGCGACAAATTCCCTGGTCCTCCCTTACAAAACGAATGGAACGTAGAAACGTAGGTGGTGAGGGAAGAACGGAGCGGACGTGGGATAAAAAGGAGGCAAAGGAGCAGTATATGAGAGGAGGTACGGGACGTGATCGCGAGGCAAGACCCGGCCCTTTGTTGTCCTAGCCTGGTAGGCTTTCGGTCCACTTCTAGACTGTGTTTTGTTACAGCACGCCATAGTTACACTCTTTCTTTCCTCCCTCCAAACGGCGCTCCTTAAACACGTTTCTAAGCCGACGTTCCTGCGTCCTTCGTCCTCCATCGCCCTTCCTCGCCCTCGGCCTGCACGCAAACAGACGCAGCGGAGGGTTACAATACGGCTGCTAATGTAGGATCGCAGACGCTCGAAGCGAAGGACCGGGCGCGAACCGACGTCGGCGACGACGGCGATGGCTGCGTTTACCGCGTACACCTGCGGAATTAGTCGCGAAGCTGAAAAAAGGAGGAGGAAACGAGACTAGACGGCGTCCGCGCGCCTCCAAAATTGCAGAATTTTTATTTTTCTTGGAAGGGTGTTAGCTAAGTGTCGCCAGGCTGGTATTAAAAGCCATGACTTTCGGTGTCATTTGAAAACATATCCTCTAAGAGGAGATCCCTCGAGGCTCCGCGACTTCCCTTTTCCCCTGTTTGCCCTTTGGCGATGAAAAAAAAAGAAACGAACACTCGCTGGCTCGCGCACCCTCTCTTCCTTTGCACCTGATCGGACGAACCTCCGACTGACTGGCCGCTTAATTGGAAAGATCCACGAAGATCGAGCATTGTTTGCGGACAAGAGTCGCGTGAAACACGCGAGCCAGGAATTTCTCTGGTAGTCAGTGGCCGAGTCGGCGTATATATTCGACCGGTCGATCTGTAGTTCGAGGCGTAATAGAAGTTAACGCCGTGGTTTGAGGTATTCGATAACGCCGGCGAGCGGTCTTGGAATAATTATCGGAGCGCAGGTGCCGCGACACGAGAAATTGGAGTTTCCGGTCCGTCTGGAATGCCATCCGGCTGAACGCGGAATAATACCTGCGAAGCTTTCGCACCGGTGTAAATGCAATTTTGATGTTGAGGTTTCGCGATATGGAAATAACCGCGGGAATCGTGTCTCGATTTCTTGCCTCCACGTTCGAAGGGTATATTACTTAGATAAAGGCGGACAGTTTCGTTGAAGATTCTTATTGAACGAGATAGCAACGACGTTACATTGCTTTTGGGCTAAAAATATATCCTCTGATATCGGGGAACCGTACGAAAGTTGTTTTAGAAATAATTCTTCAGTATATTAATCCTTTGCGCTAAACGTGCACACCACGTTTGAATAAAACGAAAATTTCAAACTTTAATAAATTAAACTTGTCAGTGATTAGTTTTTCATCGTCGATAGCGAGCTGTGTGTATTATTTAACGTTATTTCCTCGTTGAAAAAGCATATAACTCACGGGATAAACTCACCGTCACGTCTCACTGAACTTCCGTTTGCTCCTTGCATCGAACGATAAATCATTACTCTCGCCTTGGACTGGGTTATTGGTGGATTAGTTGCACAACGCTGTTTATTCCTTTTATTTCTCTTCGTTCTATCTGTACGATAGTAACGCGAGGGCAATTAAACTTATTTACGTAGCACGATATCGATATCGAGCATCAGAAAGCCTAACTACGCGTGGGATTTAAAAAAACAATGGTCTAGGAATCGATAATTAATTCATCCCTCTTATCACGCTTCGATACCCATAATATCGACCGTAACTATTCTCGACACTAGGTAATATTAGGTCGTCCCATAAGTTCGTGCCTTTTTTTATATTCGCGTACGGAATAAAATATTGAATCCGCTTTTAAATATTTTTTTTAGAGACATTACGACAGGAGTCGATGAGATGACCTAATAACAATTACCGTTTCGATCATCCAATTCCAAAAATACTCGATTTCCTTTTAGTCATTCGCGGTTGGCACGAATAAAGGATGATCTTTGCGGTTCGCGTGATACACCGAGCATCCTGATACAATGACAAATGAAAAATAAAATGTAAAAGTAATGGAAGTAGAGGAGGGAAGTTAACAAGGATCGAGACGATAGATGGACAGGAGAGAAGGAGACGGAAAGAAGGAGGACTCGAAGGATCCTTACGTAAAATATCGCGCGGCTATCCGCAGGACGGTCGGCCGAATATTATTTCGCCTCGTAAAGATCCTGATGAGCGTCGGCCCGGGATTATTTAATGACGCGTGTATCTTCGCGTCGGTGCACGAGGCTCGTTCCTGGCAGGTATAAAGGTATAAAGGTAAGTAGGGTGAGAGACGAGCGACGTCGACGGGGGAGGGTATGGCAAGTCCGGTCAGGTATGCCAGTGCTCGGCCAGTTACACACCATCGAAAGATTTACGCGTGTATGAGTGGGTGGAGAGAAGAGAGAATCGTAGATGCAAGCCGCGCAACCGTAGCTGGACGAGCCTCGAGGTCTTCACGACTTGAAGCTCGTAGCAAATGACAGGGGATCGGGAGGGCTAACTTTCCGTCCCTTTCTATCCGCTAACCATCCTCCAAAGTGTCCGTCCAAAAGTCTCGTACCCTCTCTCTTTGCCAGTCTGTCCGTCTCTTTCAAAGGGAGAGCAGAGTTCCTTTCTCAGGTAAATCGAAACAGGTACCACTCCGTGGCCGACGTTTTTACCAATACCAACACCGTGCTATCCTGCCGAACGTCGATCCACGGATAGAGAAAGATTTTTAGGATGGATGAGGGGGCGTTTTTCGGTTCCACCCGCTCTCGAACGTTGATTTTTACCGTGTGTTTAACGCTTATAGAGGTACCTCTGCTAAAAATACGTAGAACGCAGACTGAGACGCGTTCATCTACTCTCCTACCTGTGCGAACGTATTCTCACGGAATGCACAGTGTTCATTCGCTCAATTATTCTTAGAGATCCCTTTTTTCGGATCTCCATGCGATGACATCAATTGAATTCCAGGGATTTCTGAAATAATTACACGAGGGTATAAATTATGGGAACTACGAGCAACTTGAATTTTCTCTCCAATTACTTCACCTGTCTCTCATACTTTCGATCGTTACGTTCGATGCACAAAGTCCATGGACACGCTTCGATTGCCTCGAAAAACGAAAAGAAAGAAACTCGACTATAACCCTGTGTACCTCATTTCAAGATTCCACGGACGCTTTATCATAGGAAATCTTCGTTCGCCCTCTTTGCTCGCGGCCGGGAACACAGGGTTCGGGGATGGCTACCTGACGCGTTCAGGGATGAAGGATCTTTGAAAGGATCTCCGGAGAAAAGAGAAACGCAGAAGGTGGACATTAGTGACACTTCATTAAGATAATTCTCCGACGAATCCTGGTTTTCGGCTTCTACCGCCCTTTCCTTCTTCCAAATCTTAGGAATCTGATACTAGAAATCAATTTCATTATGAAATTCAATGGATTGACCCAATTCTCTGATCGTTGATTCAATTTTTAATGGAAGCACCCGGCAACAAATGGGTTGATCCACGTAAAACCGAAAATCCGTGAAACACGCGACCGGTATCATCTCGTAATAGGCATTATCTGGTGGATCCTCCTCGTGCAGGTTTCGCTAATCTAATTCGTCGAACAGATTATCCGTCTGCGTACGACTATGGACAATTTCTGTCCGAGTGAAACGCAGCTGCAGCCACGTTTCGACGAGGATGCCTCTACCGACCGTAATTATTAATCGTTCTACGGGCGTAAGGGGTTTCGCGAAAAGAAGACGAGCATGAAGGATCAGGGACGTTGAAGGGTGAGGAGGTGTACGCTGTCTTGTGCACGAAATTGGTCGGTGACTAGCAGACGAGGCGGATAGCTCGCGAGCAATTTGGCGGCTGGTAACGAAGGGCCTGCGAAAACAAAGGATCGTCCTCGGTTCGGCCAATTGTTGCATTATTCATGCGTTTCTAGCAAGAAGCGGTTGTAAGCCATGCCCAGCCCCAGGACTCTACTCTGCTTCGCTCTACCTATCTCTTTCTTTTCTGCCTTTTCGAAAATTCATTTTGTTCCCTTTCGGCTGGCTTAGACGCACCATTAGTGCGCCAGCAGCGTGTATGGCTCGCTTCCACTACCTTGATTACGAGGCTAGAAGACCTTCGGGCTTGAAACTAGTTCCCTTTTCCTTGTCTCAGAGATTGTGTCAAAAATTTTGACTGAGGTCCCTAATAGTATTGATAAGAAACGAATTAGGATGAAGAATAGCTAAAAAAGTTGGATGTATTAATTACTGTATCGATGAAATCAAAAATTATTTAAATGTTATTTCAAACTTGTTTTCCTTTGTTTAATTGCCAACTGCTTGATCAAGTTATAAATTATCCTCTTGTGTTATAAAATCTGATGGCAATAAATAATATCGTTTAAGCAGTGTCGTGGAATGTCGTAACATAACATACTTTGAGATTCGTTTTATTGCTTTTCAGTGGTCTTGCACAAATACCCTTCATTATATAATTCCCTGATAGCGCTTGGTTCGTGTAGCATTAGGTGAAAAAAGCTTGATTACTTTTACAATGATTATCTTAAGCTATCGATCCTGGTCTAATTAATTAAATTCATTTTTTTTTTTACTGCTCACGGATACTGTGAGATTATCTAACACATGGGTGATAGAATCTGAATTTACGACAGGTTTTAGAAGGCGATTCTTAATACATTTGATGGTTGAATTCTTCAAAAGAATCATGTTCTTCAATCTTATCCCAAGAAATTCGTATTTCTTCGTTCACACGAGACAGTGGCGGACGGCGTCGCGACGAAATCGTCGTTCTTTGGCTCATTTCGGCCCGTTAAATTAATTAATAAGACTGATTTGTTTCTTGTGCACCGCGTTGAGGCCGGGTTTTGCGTTAGTGGCGAGTCCTTTGACGGTCGGTACGATAAATATGGAGCAGCGTCTCGTCCTTTCCTCCGCATTCCTCGCTGCCCTGCCACCCTGTTCCCAGAAACCGCGACTTCTGAACCAACGTGATCGCGCGCGCAAAAAAAGAGCGATGCCGTCCGTTCGTCGCGGTATTTCGATCGCCTAGAATCGAGGGACAGAGAGAGAGAGGAAGAGAGTCCGGCTAAAGCGGCTTTCATTGCGGCAATAAGAATTCCAGAGGGTCGTTAAGCTCGCTGAAATCCACGGCATAACTTTCTAGGAACTTCTAGGAAGCCGTGCAACGCGCTGACGTTACAAAGAGTGGAAGCTGAGCCCTGACAACAGGGAGAAATAAAAAAAGAAACGTCCTGTTCGTTCGAAGGATTATTCCGGCTTGTAGGATCTTCCCTGAATAAAAAGCACATTTGTTGCTCGAACCTGCGTCGAGTCAGGAACGATTGTAATCATAATGCGGTAGGAATTCATATTTCAGCATCATTTAGTTGTTTGACTTTCGAAATTCGACGTAGACCCAATGAAAGCAGAAGAATCCGATTGTAATTCAGTCAATTGAACGTTCTACTCTGGAATATTAATGTAGGTCAGGCGAAAAACCGTGCAATCCATTCCTTCAACTTCGTTCTAATGGCAGATCCTGATGGTAAGCTGGTTCCAATACGGCTCGCTCGAAAAACCATCGACCAGTCGTCCCAGAACCCATGGAATTCGGCCAAACGGCAAACATTTGAATTCTACCGCGTAGAAGAAGCCTCGGTATCGATTATCCTCCGGCTTGCTTCGACCTCCATTTCGTTTTGGCGGCCCTTTATCCCAACCGAAGGGAGACGCGTCGCAAACATAACTCTTTCACCGAGCCTTTTTAACCGCTTCCTTCTGCGTTCGCTGCAATCGTCGAATGAAAAAGGGAAAATTATTTAGCGATCGCGGTCGTTGGTGTAGGAAATAATTGTCGCGCAGCACGAGCTACGATAAAAGTATAATTTACCGTACGCGGTATCCACGGATTATGTAATTTCTGTCCGGGTTCCCTGGCGCGAGAGCCATCGAGCGAAACACGAAGCAGAAGAATGATTCTATAAATTCCCCCGGTATCTTTATTACTCTGTACGCGTACTATAACCTGATCTTTCTTTCTCCGTTTTTCCTCTCACCAGTCACGATCGGCTGCGATCCAGGAGCAGAGGGTCGTTTAAATTCCGTCGCGTTAAGTCGCTCGCGATCCAGGCTAACTGGGTATATCAGGAAGTCGCGGATCGAGCGAGACGAGACTCCCGTGGCGAAACATTTGGCGATTTAACCCTTTACAAAGTGTTCTTAAACTCTGAGATGTGAGAATTGAAACTACCAACTTAGGGACTTGGACAGTTTTCGCTCTGTCAACTTATTCCTCGTGCTATACTTTGCTATGGGTACCAAGGATTCGTCCGGAAAGTTGGCGACGCACGGTAGCTGAATGTTCCACTTGAACATTCTGAATAATTTTGAACGCTGATATGATTTCATACGGAAATAATCTTTATAAAATAAGCAGAAATATAAAAATGAAACGACTTATCTAAACCAGTTATTAGTTGAAGAAGAGAGAGAAAGGGAGTCTCCGGGAGGTTGTTTGCTAATAAAGAATTTATAGTCCTCGTTACTGGTACGGTTTTCTACGAATTAACGTTGATTACCGAGCCGACGTAAAAAGCTAGAAAACAAGATAGCCCGGCTACGCGCAGAAACCGATTAAACGAATTCATGAATAACTTAAGGCCGTTCGACTGGACGCACCTGCCCCTTCTCCTTCAACTTCTTATCCTGTCCTCTCTTTTTCTCTCCCCGGGCACCTAGGAATTTATTTCGAGCTCGTAAGATTGCGGATGGAACTGAAACACTGACACCTCTCCATTATCCTGTCACAAGACCGTATCATCCTATTGGTGAATCTACGAGAGAGGAAGAGAGGATGGGGAACGGTTCGAAAGCACGATCCATGAAAGGTGCAAAAATTTAAAAGGAAATCGTAAAGATCACGAAATTGTTTTACGTTCAACCGCATCTCGAAGTGCACCTATGAATTTGTCCCATGCGGAAGAACGCGCACACGTTTTATGTCCGTTCCTGGAAGATTTACGGGATGTACGGGATACGTTACCTATTTACTGAACGACATGCTGCGTCCTGGTTGATGTTGAGGTCGTATGAAACGCTTGTGATCGACGCTCGATGCTGGTGCATTCTTGCAATAAAATGCAACTGCATCTTTGCTCGAATGTCGAGGGATAATGAGGACAAAGTGCAGGTGCTTCTTAACCCTCACATGGACAACAGTGTACTCAGGAAATTTCTACATTTCCTAACTTAAATAAAAAATGTTTAATTATTAAATTTCAATGGGTGGCCACGCGATAAAGAGGCTCGTGCTGTGGCAAGCTGCTGCATAAAAGTTTCGAATCTCCAAGAATCAAAAGCAAAAGGAATACGATGAACGATATCGTAACAACGTTCGAGAGCCGAGGATAAATTAAAATCGCTATCTGCGGTGCTGGTAATCGATGCGAATTAATTGCAGGACACCCGGTACAAACAGGCTACGGAGCAATGCGTGAACCGCGAAGGAAACGATTCACAGGACTGGATTCGTCGGGCGGGCCGTTAATGAAGATAAAAATCTAATTAGCCAGCCATAAACGAACACGGGGAATCTTTTTTAAGCCTGTCCAACCGACATGTAGCCCAGACGCAAATTCATGAGTTTCCTTGGCCAGCTTCACGGTAAAGAGGATCTTTTTCGATGCTGACGTCACGCGGGTGAGAATGCGGTCAGTCCGGATGGGACCCCACGATAGGTCCTAGGTGTACGGGAGTAGAAGATGCGATTAAAAGCGTTGCTTGCAACCGGGAGGAAATTTTTTTTCAACGTTCTTTCATCGATGAAGTGTATCTAAATTGACCAGCCAATGATTTGAAAATTATCAAAATTCTAATTTTTTTTAAATCTAACATTTACAATGCGTTATAAAAGAAATTTCAATTTCTTCTTCTGCATAATTACCTACGTCCGATAAGCATCCCGGAGAATACCATAAGCGCATCAATAATCACTCGAATAAATATTAAGCAAAGAACGAAGGTGTGAGAGAGACAGGAGAGGTTTAGAAACCGATTACCATTTCCCTGCGTCGTTTTCTTCCGGCATGTCGGGAATCTTAATCCCGAAGGGGAACACACGGTTAAAGTGGCTTTAGGGACGCCCTTGTCGGACCTTATTAAGTACTTAGAGAGCATAAGGGACTTCTTGCTCCCCGGGTCCACGTTTAACCGTGCTCGAATTACCTTCTGTTACCATGCTGTGGCTTTCGAGCGACTGCACGAGAAAAAACCGGCCGAACGAACGAGAGACAATCGCCTTACCAAAATTAATAGGCGGAAATACAAGCAGCCAGGATTATTCCCTGTTTCGCCGTTAAGTCGACCGATAGGTTGGCCAGGTGTCGATGCGTTGCACGAATCGACAGGAGTGAGAATTTCTTAGAACACGTGCCAGGCGCGATGTTTCGCGGATAGGTCGTCGTTCGTGGTGAACCAGCGAAATTTCAATTCTGAAATGTTCCTAGTCTTCGTTAATGGAAAGATAAGAATAATCAATCACGCTCCCGTTATGAACACCCTTCAGACCAACAGCAGATTTGCTAAGAATAAATACATTACGCGATTATTATGTAACGTTTCTATCTCCTCAGTTTGATCCACAATGGTACAGGTAAAGATCAACAAAGATTATTGTATTTAATCAAGTTTTTGTGCCACTCGAGAATCTCTGATTGCTAATAAAGCGAGCGAACCGAGTGGATAAGAAAGATCCGTTCCAGTTAAGAGAATCTGTAGTTGGTCCATGACTGAATTTTGCGGCAGCTGAATGTCTATCGGGGCGTGATTCAAGGGGGTTGCATCGGTATAATAAAGCGTGGAAGGGGTGATCAACAGCGGGCACGCGCCACTGGCTCGGAAGAGCAACCCTTCATCGGGTTATCCTAGCCTTTCCAGCCCACGAACGATAATCTCGACCCCCTTCGGCGAGAGACGGTTTTCTCTGTCGCCTTGTACGCTTCGCGAAAGGCTGCTGAACCCTTGGACGTTGTTACAGTTACGTGACATAACACCTTGCCCCGTAATTTTCCCTTCGATGCACCGCTATTTAAACACGCCGATTGAAAGAGAGGGAAAAGGACGAAACCGGAGAGGGGAAGGAGAACGACCAGTTCATTACGCAACGAGAAGATCGTACGATTATCATAAACGTTTACGGATGAAACTACGGAAGAATGTTAATTGCCTCGGTCGGACCGCAAAGATCGTCCAATGGTTACCTGTAATTGGGACCAATGGAGAACAAAGATCTCTTGACGGACTGCGTTGATACCAACTCTTATACAGGGTGTCATTTCGAAATTTCATAAATTCAAATTTTACATTAAAAGATGAGATAAAATTATAGAAGAAAATATTTTTATAACACAAAATAGGAAAAAGATTTTATTCTATAATTTTGTATTATTCTTTTCTCGTTGGATTTTAGAGTTTTCGGTTCTATAGTCGGTTTCATGACACCCTGTATATCCGAATCCACGACAGCAGACAGGTCACCGGTTTCCGTAGTTTATCCACCATAATACCCTCTCGTGCACCTACATAAATCTACCGGCTCCCAATATATACACAGTTACCGCTGGACCAGAAGGTAATTCCATCTTCGTGCCACTTTTCTCTCTCTCACCCACGTGAGCCTACCCGTTCTCTTCTTTGTTTCTGTGTCTTTTCTGTGCGCTTATACCTGGTCCTGCCTCGACAGCCGGTCAACAGTGAAATTATTGGAGGATACACGATTTTTCCTTGAGATGGGTCTACCTAACGTCTTGGCGCGAGCATTGGCCAATCGTAATTTCGAGGCTGGCGCTGTTCAGCCACGAAAAGAAAGCAGGATTCATTTATCGTATCTCGGATCGTTCTCCAAAATTCCGACCGTTGGTCCCGTAATTATTTCGACGTATACTTAGCAACTAGAACATTTGAATCCTGCGGTTTTTGCAGACGCCTGAAAAGGGGATGATCGGAGAATTTCGCGAAAGCCGTTGAACATCTGCGGATAAAACGAACGGTTGCCGCATATCTGCCGGTAGCGGTTCACGTTAAATACTATCGTGGATGCCTAGACGAACGGAACAATAGGTGCGGAACTAGAGACGAATAGAAAAAAGGGGCAGCTCTAAGATCCGAAGACCGGCAATTTGGTCGTCCATCAGATGGCGTCTTCGTGACCACCGGATATTATGGTCGTTGTAAAGTTGAGCTGGAAATTCAAATTGAACTGCACGGACCACGCGTGGTTATACGTGTACCATATAGCCTCGCGGCTACTTTCCTACTAAATCGTTTTGATTATACTCATTACCCGAGGCCGGGATCGTGCTGTTCTTTCTTCGGTGAACAGGGATCACCGAGACCTTCGTATTCTATTATTCCCGGAAATCGTGGGCCAACATATCGTTTGAATAGGACGTATTGACCGTATCATTTCGTCGAGATGGCATTCCGGAACGTCTGAAGAGAAATTTATACTCTGGAATTAATTAATTGAAAAAAAGAAGGAAATATATATGTATCAATTTTCTTCGTATTATTTCTATGCGAAAGAGTTGACGTTAAGCGTGAATATCACATTCAAGGAACGCGTATTGAGAATGTTAATGTAGAACAGGGAGTCAAAGGCGGTCCATTAGGCGAGCTTGTCGCCCGTTGCTTTGCATCATTTTTATTCACGACACCAAAGGGAAAACGGGGCTACTATTTCTACCTACATATATCTATTTAGTAGCTTTACAAGGTAGATAAGATAAAGCCTCGTTCGTATAGTGGGGCTCGTATCTAGGCGAAACGACAGTCTGAAACGTCGATAATTGTCGGCGAGATTATCGGACGAATCGGAAAGAGAGACGGGGCAATTAAAGCGACTGGAAAACAAAAAGATATAGAGCCGCGATTTGTATAATTGCTCAGATAGAAAATAGTCACCGGAAGTTTGTCATTTGTCGATCGATTATTTCTGCAGTTACCAAATGAAATATATCGAGCAACGCCTTCGTCTCGATAACACGATCGAATCTAGCGAGGGAAAAAAGGAAAGTTATCGGGATTTACATATTTAATAAATACGCAAATGAACGGACAAACGGATTATTAACACGAGATCCGCAATGAACACGCCCGATGATTTACGGCCATTGAAGAAGTGAAATCTCCGTGGAATCATCGAAAGTATTTAAACGAGCGTTGATAATACCTCTCTTGATGAAGGAATATCCTTTTTACTAAAATGTGTCGAAGTAAATCATCAAATAATTACCTGTGTTTAAGAGAAGAATCCTAATGATTGCAAATTCATACGAAAGATTTTTTTTTTTTCGAAATTACGTGGGATGAATATTACAAAAATTGTCTTTTTTATGGAGAGATCATGAAGGGTTACGTTGAAAGGGACAGATCTAAATATAAGCATTATTTATGCGCCATTGCAACTGTGTATTCCGTAGAAGGGTGTCAACGGAAACGCATTGCCGAACTATCGATCGACTGCAGTCGCTAGAATGCACAAGCGGGCGGTACACTTAATAAAGGAGTATACGTGTACCGGTGGAAAGTTGCAGCTAGAACCGGGATAATCCAATAATTATCCAACGCGCGACGTTTATCCAATTTTTCTCCCCTCGGTTTACTGAATTCTGAACTAGCACTGACACAATTTCCAGATTGAAACGCTAAGAGGCAGCGTCGTAACGTTTCCTTTCATTAATATTTCAAACATCAAGCAACCCTTAAAATCTAATATTAGAAATTATCTATGGTTTCAAAATTCAGCAATCCAGCTCCCAATTGTAACAAAAGCGATCGATCGGTGATTACCAGAACGCACTTTTCAACCGTAGAAACATGTTCGTGGAGCGATACGTGTCCGTGTTTCGTTAGCTGGCATGGGGACAGCCTGCGGACAACATTGTAGGGACTTGCGACATGCGCCGCAATTATCCGTTCGCCGTCTCATTTGCGATTGTAATTAAGATCAGCCACGGGTCTGAACGCGGGCGCATTCGAGCGTGCACCGATCGGTCCTGATTGCGCCCGCTTAGGTGCGAGTTGCGCTTTCATTGCGGCGCTAACGCGACTAACTGCCTCGCACGCGAGTCTTCTTTCTCATTTTGCTTACTCTCACTCCGTCTTTCCCTCTTCAATCTTGTCGTGGAACAGGTAGACGGATAACGGAGGATAGAAATTTTCGTTCCGTTTCGTTAGAGAGGGTGCGGGGGAACGTTTAATCGCGATTCAATTGGCGGGGAAAAATGTTGGAGAAGGTTCAGAAACGTTATCGCGACGATCGTGTAATTACAGGTTAGAGAGGCGTGCACACACGTCGCAAATTATTCGCGGGGCACGGTCGTATCGAAATTATCGTTGAGCAACGAGCCTGAGGAAAATCGATTACTACTAATTCCCGTG